AAGTCTGAGAGTGTGGTGATTAAGAATGTGCTAGGAGAGCTAGTAATAATTTTTGCAACAAGTATCATTAGATTATGATGATGTGATTCCAACTTTGCTTGGAATGCTGTTTATAATTAGGATGTAGTATTAATTAAAAAGACAAATATCCAAGAGAAACTACCTATTTATTTCATAAGGACATATTCATGAAGTAAAGGAATCGTGCAAGATGAAATTTGGGTAATTCGTTTCTGAAATGAGATAAATTTCTGCTGAAGATCCCTTTCTCTATATGAAAAGCATGTTATTTGAATGCTAAATATTCTGTGCCAATGAAGCATTTTACTAGACTGTTAATCTTGCTAAAATGGTAAAATATTTGCTTTAATCCAAAGGAAATTCAGCCCTCTTCAGCTAATATGCACACAAGGCTTAAAGATGGTAAAGCTAATGAAGCCTCATCTAGATGAGGCTTTAAAAGTTTTAATCAACCACCCGAAAAGCTGGCTGGTCCCTGTTCTTTTAGCACTTTCAAAGTCATCTAGGGAGCTTGGTAGAAGTGAAACTCTGAGATGGCAAGGAGGTGGGGTTTTTTTCTTTTTTAACAAGGCAACTCTGTAAATAGAACTGACTATAAATTAATGACCATGCTTTTAATGACAGATGGTCTTTCAACAGTAACCAGAAAGATCAAAATTACTGATCATTATCCAGTCATAACTGATTCAGGACTGTTTTCTGTGGCCTCTTCTAACCTGCAGTGGAAATAAGCGATGCGAGAGCAAGAGCATTTGGGATTGCCCTTGGAAATGACATTAAAGAAAGTCTGGGAGACATTGAAGGCTGCCATGAGGGATGAAAGAATCAGCTCCTTTAAAATCTAGAAGCAATCTAGTTCAAACAGCTAAAATAAAAGGCCAGATCAACATTTGCAAAGAAGAGTTGCTTCATGAGTGAGATGGGCAGTTTCTGAATGTGATAAACAACTAAGTAAATAAATTTACTTAGTATATTTAAATAAATATATTCATTTATTTAAATATACAAATTGCTCTTTGTATATATTATAAAATCCTTAAACTGAAACTAAAAGGAAAATTTCAGATCCCTGGAAATGATTTCTAGTAAAATAAATCTTTGCCAGATTAAGCAGTACTGAGTCTCATAATGAATGTTCTAGACTTTTAACTGTCATATTGAAAATAAAAATAAAAATGTAGTTCTGGCGTGCAGGGTTCAGATGGCTTTAAAACTTTTAATCTAACAGTAGTTCATCAAATGCTTAAGTATTATTATGTGGATCTATGTACAGTACAATCATCCTAGGAAGTAAAAACAAAAAGTTATCACATATTAGTATAGCTTTCCTTCCATTTCTAAGGAACAGAAATATAGAATGAACCAATATCAGTGCTGGAACTGAGATAATTAGGGTTTAAAAGGTAACAAAGCCACTGTCCTGCTAAGTATTGTGTAAGTCAGGGGTCCCCAACCTCCGGGCTGTCACCCACTACTGGGCCATGGCCTGTTTCAAACTGGGCTGTGCAAGCGATGAGCAAGTGCACGCAGATGCAAAATTCCACTCATGCAAGCAAGGCGTTTGTGCTTGCGTGTGAAACTGCACTTGTGGAGCTTTGTGTGCAAGCAGAAGCGCCCCCTGCTTGTGTGCTCTCTGCTCGTGTGAGTTGAGCTTCACGCACAAGTGCAATCACCCTCTGCTCATGCACAAAGCTCCATTCATGCGAGTGGAGGGCACATGCACATGCCACTTGTATTAATGGAGCTGTATGCATGCATGTGTGCATGCCACTCACACACACCCCTCCCCATGCCGGACTGCCAAGGTGGAAAGGTTGGAGACCACTGGTGTAAGTCATGTGCATATCTAATGATTTTTCATTTACACATAACTTGTAACAAAATTCTGGAACATGATCCACTCTAACTGCATTAGGGCACTAAAAGGTTGAATGAGGGATGCTTGGTACTATATTGGTTTAAGAGATTTAGATTATGTATCTTCTTATAGATACACAACTGAATTCCATAAAGCAAGACAACTAGACTTTTGGCCTTAAATAATTTAATTGTAGCTGAGTCAAACTATTCTCATGTCACTTTGCAAATTTAATAACAGCTAGAAATGCTTTGGGGGCTTTTGTAGATACTGTAATGCTTTTTCTTGATTTTCTCAAAAGGTAGAGGATTAAAAATAAATGCCCAAATCTGTAAAGAATTTCACCTACTCAATAATTCTACTAGAGGAAGAAACATCAATTATTAGTGCTATGCTTATGGCACTACTCTGATAGTTGAAAACGCAAATGATCTGCAAGCTCTAGTAATGAAAGTCAAGGAGCAAGGAACCCAGTGAAAAAATAGGACTACAATTAAATGAAAGAATGCAAGCTAATTATAACAGGTTCAGAAATGAGACTGAGAAGTGACAATAAATATATTGAAGTGCTGGATAGCTTCTGACTGTTCAGATTGATTATCAACAGTGAAGGAACCAGCAGTCAACAGACATGCCATAGACTAGCATATGGTAGAGGAGGAATCAATGATGTGGAAAAGATTTCAGATATCATAACATGTGTATATAAAGATCAGAGTTGTGCAGAGAACAGTTTTCATCAAGACACTTTATGGAGGTGACAGTTGAACTTTGAAGAATCAAAATAAAAAGAATGTTTGTTTTTTGAAGTTTGATGTTAGTGAACATTCCTGAAAATACCATCAATAGTGAGGAAAATTAATAGATAACAGAACAAATAAATCCAGTCTTTTCATTCAAGGCAAATAATCAAATTATCAATATTTTGGATAACTATGCAGAGACCTAGCTCTCCAGAGAAATCTATAATGCTGAGAAAAATGGAAGGGAAAATAAAAGGATGATCAGTAACTAAGTGTTCCACCACAATACCAACCTTTCATTTCATCAGAAGATGGCATAAGAGATCTATTTGTACTCATGCGTGGCTTCCTGCGTTCCTCTGTGTGTGTATGTGCGTGTATAAGAGAGATGGGGGGACAGGGAGAGAGAAAGGGTATTTTTCTTTCTGAAAAACTACAGCTTGTGTTTATTTATTTAGAAAATTTATATTGTCACCTATTCGCACATGGCAACTCAAGGCAGTTTACAGGAATATAAAAACATCATATATAAAAAATCTAACTAATAAAATAATAAAATAATAAATTAATAAAATATTATAGTAGCCCCCACACACACACCTGGCGACAACACATCGAACGAACCATTTAATTGGCTCCATCTCGCTCTGGGTTGCCCAGGCCCACTGGCAGAACCAGGTCTTCAGCCCCTGCTGGAAAAGTGTGTGGGCCAATCTAATCTCTGGGGGAGTGATGTTCCAGAAAGAGGGAGCCAACACTGAGAAGGCCCTTCTGGGCCCCATCAGGGTGTATCTCCCTAGGGGATGAGACCCGCAACATTCCTTGCTTCCCTGCTCTAATGGGTCTGGTAAATGTGACTGGCAAGAGATGGTCCCTCAGATAACTTGGTCCCAAGAGCTTTAAAGGTGACAACCAGCACCTTGAATTGTACCCGGAAACAAATCAGCAGCTCCCGCAGGAGAGGTGATATATGTGCACACCAAGGTCTGCACAAAATCATGTGGGCCGCTGCATTTTGCACCAATTGGAGCTTCCGGATGCTCTTCAATGTTCAATATTCCTTATTATAGCATTTTACAGAGATAGTTGCCATCAACTGATCTCCAGGCCTTCTAATATGTATTATTAGCACTGTATACTAGTCAATGAAGATATTATTTCCTTAAATTTCCTTAAATTTTACAAAGTTCTTTAACCTTGTTTGCCCACAGATGTACAGTAAGTCAATGATTGCAATTGGGGAGGGGCTTTATTTTACTATCTTATGGTCCATGATTGCAGTAAAGTAATTCAGTTTTTCATTCCTAAAACACTCCACCCTGGACTTTAAGGCAACTGCTGTTGAACAGTGGCCCTCAGCCTGGAATAAGACAGCATTCATTGGCACGATGATTGAGGACAGAAGAGCTTATCTAGCTTAGTTTCACTGAGATTTCATTGAGCGAGTGTGAGAATGTGTATGCGTATCTGAGTCAGTTCTGTGCAGCTGTGTATTTGGTATAGCATTGAGGATGACAAGCATCATAAAATTCAGAGCAGGTCATTCCCAAAGCTCAAGAGACACGAGAACCATTGGCTTGGATCACATTTGGGACCAATCAACAATTGTCAGCTCCCCAACAGTTATGGCTTCTTGGTTGGTTGTGATTTGTCTGACGTTTCAGGTTTAACATCAAAGTCCATGAAAATTTATGCCCTAGATTCCTGTTTAATATCAAGGTGTAGCCCAAAAAGTGTCAGATCCACCATCATTCTAGGTAGATGGACGCCATGGCTTATAGTGAGGTTTCAGATAGATCCAGTATAAATAAATGATTGACTCTGGTGTGACTTTATTCTATAGCGGGGGTCCCCAAACTTGGCAGCTTTAAGACTTGTGGACTTCAGAATTCTGGGAGTTGAAGTCCACAAGTCTTAAAGCTGCCAAGTTTGAAGACCTCTGTTCTTTAGAGTTAGTTCAAACATTTACTAAAACTGTACAGATCTCTCTCGGAACGGTGGAAGAAAAGTTTAATTGCTGTTAAACGTTACGCTACCAGCTGGATAGAAAAACCCGTTTTATACATATCTAAGAGCGAGGGCTGGTGCAAAGAAGAGTCTGGCGAACCGCAAATCTAAGCCGACCAATTTGCCTACTAAATTTCCACCAAGAAATCACTTCCCTCCCTACACGTTTACGCGCCTGCTAGTGCACGCATGCGCAAGAGGCCGCCATTCTCCCCACGTGGGCCGCCTTGTGTACAGTACTCTTTTGTCTTCGCTTTTTTTTCCCCTTTCGACGAAGGGCCCTCCTTTCCGAGGACGAAACGCGGTGGAATTACGAACTGCTTATTGGTTCTTATTCGCCCAGCTGACCATAAAGCGTGTTCTGATTGGCTGGTTTTAGTGACGTCATCCCTCTTTAGTCTGTAGGCCGGTTTGCTGCTCTCTTTCTCCGGGCGGTGAGTGAAGGTGGTTCCGGGCGCGGAATGGACCGTAGCAGTTGGTGAGGAAGCACGGCTTCGTGGTTGTTGGTCTGGGTTGGGGGGGGGCGGGGAGCGAGGGGCGAGGGGCGAGCCCTTAGCCCGGCGGCGCTAGTTGTCCGGAAGCCGCTCTTTTGATGGTTGGAGGGTCCTAAAGGGTCAGCAGCGATCGGTGAACTTCTCTTGTTTCATCAGCTGAACGGGGGAGAACGTGGCTTTAGTTGGTTAGTAGTAGATCAAGCTTCCAAAGCGTCCATGGCTCATGGCAGTCTATCTCTGGCTAAGGAGGAAAGGAGAGGGCTATTGTTGTCTGTGGCCCTTCCTCGGGGCCATCAGCCTGAATAAACAGGATCTGCTTTGGTTTTAATCAGAGAGGAAATTCTTGCACAATAGAGGGCAGGGTGCCTTTCTAATAGCCGAGAAGGAGGAAGGTGTAGGAGAGGAGTTTCGCCAGGTGCAGGGTTTTCCGCTCATGGCATGCTGCAACTTGCCAAAACATCCTAGCACTGCACTGTTCTGGGCAGAGAGCTGTGATTGTCATTCCTGGGATACTCTCCCAGCTTAGGAGTCACAGCCCTGAAGGCTCCAACCACGACTGGGACCGCTTTGGTGGCCTTTACCAGGGAGTCCTCGCCTTGCGACCGCCACTGAGCCCAACATTCGGTTGCTAAGTGAAACGTTTGTTAAGTGAGTTTGCCCCAATTTACGATCGTTCTTGCTGCAGTTAACGTGAATCCCTGCGGTTGTTAAATGAGTCAAACTGTTGTTAAATGAATCTGGCTTAGCCATTGACTTTGGCTTATCAGAAGGTTGTAAAAGGGGATCACGTGATCCCGGGACACTGCAAAACCGTCCTAAATATGAGTCAGTTGCCAAGCATCTGAATTTTGATCACATGACCAAGGGGATGCTACAACGGTCACAAGTGTGGAAACTAAGTCACTTTTTTCAGTGCCGTTATAACTTGAACAGTCACTAAATGATCTGTAAGTCAAGGACTACCTGTATTTTCCACATTCTCTCTACTTCCTCCTTCAGGCCCTGATAATTCTCTAGCGTCTTATACTCCTTGCTCCTGATGGCACTGCTACATCTATCACCACCACTGTCTTCTGGGTCTTTGTCTACTACCACAATGTCTGGTTGATTGGCCAATACTTGCCTGTCTGTCCCAAATTCAGTCTTTTCCTGCCAGAATTTATTGGGAGGGTGGATTACAAGTTCTTCATAGTTCAGTTCTTCTTAGTTCAGCAGGTGGATCTCAGAATAAAATGAGAGGAATGGGGAGGACCATGTATGTTAACTTGGATGTTTTGAAAGAAAGGGAGGAAGAAAGTAAAATTTCTTGCAAATCCAAGATAAAAATATAAGTTGAATGGTAAATGTAGAAACCTAATTTCTAAGATCTATGATCCCTAAATTGTTGATATATCCATCAATATTTCCTCTGATTTTTAGGTGTGGAAAAATGCAACTAGGACATTTGTCAATGCAAGAGTATAAGATGAGAAATCAGGAAGGAAAAAATTATCCCATAAGTGATAAACTACATAGTCTTTTTAATGAAGGTTGGCCTAATTTTCTCCCCTGTTTTAAAATTCTTTTACATCGAAATTTTAATTTGTTTTAAATTATTGGGATTTTTTAATTGTCTTGGGCTAAATTATTTAATCTGGTTTTAATTATATCTTTTAATTTTTGTATTTGTATTTTATTTTGTGCCTGTTCACCGTCCTGAGTCCTTCGGGAGTAGGGCGGTATATAAATTTAATAAAAGAAAGAAAGAAAGGTTCATTGATTGTAGGTGTAGAGTAGATACATAGATAATATTCATGTAGCTGCAAATAGGTCATCTGGTTACTGGCACAGCATGAAATATACTCTTATCTGAGTTCTACAGCATCACCAAACAGGAAATGCTCGCAAAAGTCCCAATATACTTCTAATAGCAGTCAGTTACTATTTGGTATCTATTGTAAATTCAATTCAATTAAAAGATTGAAATTCTTATTTTAGAATTATATCCCACGTTATGATTAGTGGTAATTAACTATAAAATGCTTATCCTTGGACTTAAATTCTTACCTTTACTTTTGATTGTCTTGTCTCCTGTCTGTGACCCAGGGGTGAAATCCAGCAGGTTCTGACAGGTTCTGGAGAACCGGTAGCAGAAATTTTGAGTAGTTCAGAGAACCAGCAAATACCACCTCTGGCTGGCCCCAGAGGGGGGTGGGAATGAAGATTTTGCAGTATCCTTCCCCTGGAGTTGGGTGGGAATGGAGATTTTGCAATATCCTTCCCCTGGAGTGGGGTGGGAATGGAGATTTTGCAGTATCCTTCCCCTGGAGTGGGATGGGAATGGAGATTTTGCAGTATCCTTCCCCTGCCATGCCCACCAAGCCACCCCCTCAGAACCGGTAGTAAAAAAAATTGGATTTCACCACTGCTGTGATCCTTCTTCCAAATTATTATAGTTGTGTATACATTTATGCTTCATCTTCCCAAGACATTAGGGTGATGAGAATGTAGCAAAGTGTTTCGAGTACCATAAAACTGAAATCTTGTTATTTAAAGTAATAACAGAGTTATTATGTTAAATTAAATATTATAAATAACATTTATTTAATCTCTTTAATAGAGATTAAATAAATATTGGAAAGTATTCAATGAAAATTCAAAATGATTTTTATTCAGGCTATTTGGTGTGTTTCCTTTGGAAATCTTGAATATCTATAGAGGAACTCTGTACTGGTAGCCTGTGACTTAAGACCACAATTGAGCCTAAAATTTCCGTTGCTAAGCAAGATAGTTATTAAGTGAGTTTTGCCCTATTTTACAACCTTTCTTGCCACAGTTGTTGAGTTAATAAAATGGTTGTTAAGTGAATCTGGCTTCCTCATTGACTTTGCTGATCAGAAGCTTGCAAAAGGTGATCACATGACCCTGGGACACTGCAACCGTCACAAATACATACTAATTGCCAAGTGTCCAAATTTTGATCACATGATGATGGGGATGCTGCAGTAGTCATAAGTGTGAAAATTGGCCATAAATCACTTTTATCAATGCCATTGTAACTTCCAACGGTCATAAATGAATGGTTGTAAATTGAGGAATACCTGTATGTAACAGTGAGTTGGGATGAATGATAGTTTTCACTAGTGTCTTACCATTTACTTTACCAACAATAATGATTTTTCCTTGATCTTTAAATTACAAGTTTTCTTGTAATTTTGCAACTTTCAATAAGATAAGGGCAATGAATAGGTGATAAAGCTACGATGATTTTTTTTGGTATCAATTCAAATCTTTTTTGTGCAACAGAAATATTAGAGCTTCAGCAATATGGCCTTATACCAATTTTGAGAATTTAATACCTTATTATTTATAACAACCAAAAGAAAAGAGATAAAAATATATAGGTTATTCCTTCAATGAATGAGAAATACGGTATGTACCAAAGGGATTAAAAGAAGCTTGGGTTTCTTACCTGGTGGTCCAAAAAAACGGAAAAGTTGACAGCAGTTTTGGAAGCTGGCAGAGTCACTACAACTTCAATGCAAGAATTTCAATGAAAGGTCATATATTTTTGACATTGGATTCCTATTTAATTGGCACATATGTATCAAAATTATCCTTCCAAATGCTGGGGAGGTTGTCAAAAAAGGGGTCATTTTCTTCATTTGTGGTGGTCATATGATAAAGTTACAACTCCTCAGTGAAAATTTTTTGGAGAGATAAGTATCACTAAACTTGAATGTTGTCCAGCGTTAGGCTTACTGCATTTATTTATAGGATCAAACCATAAGCTTAAAAACAAAGAACTGATTATTTAATTTTATTAGCCAAAGCAATAATTGTGCAACATAGGAAAATGTTAGGTAACATAACAATTGAGTAGTGGATTAATAAATTCTCTTCAATTGCCACATTAGAAAAAATGACAGATAAAGTAGTAAGACTTCAGAAGCAGGGCCTACAATTTTATCAAATTTGGTTGGAGTTAATAGTAATAATTATAATTAGATATATTCTTTATAGATGGTAATTTTTCACATGTATATTGCCATCTCTTCAAATTGTAGATTGTTTTTATATTTGTATATATCCTTTTTCTTTATATTATCTTGGATTTATGTTAAAGTAGTTACCTGGTACTGCTTGAAATAAATAAAGCAGAATTTCGTATAGTAAAATGTGTGCAATTTATCATTTTAAATTTGTAGAGGTTTCTTTTAAATACTTATTTTATTTTCTATTGCATGAATTGAATAATATATATGGCCAGTTTTTAAAATTAATTTTATGTCATTTTCTTTTCATAGGACCCTACTATGGCAAACAAACTTTACATAGGTTTTCTTCACTTACTTTCCACATTCTTGTTTTGTGATGCTTCCTACCCTAGCTTGGAACCAGCCACAATTCCACAAACTACAGAGAAACTCACTCCTGAGAAGGCAGCTGGTATTAATATTACTTTGGCCTTATGTAGACAGAGACATCATCTTCAGGATCTCTTCTCTCGTTATGGGGAGAACAATACATTGAATATTGAAGGGTTTAAAAAATTGCTACACAGCATAGGCATTGAGAAAGTGAAAAGAATAGATCACAATCATTACCACCATCATCACAATCATGCTACACTCGGGACAAACTCTGACAAAACCTATTGTCCTAATGATGAATCAGGTGATGGCAGCAAAGGTTTTTTGAATAACCCAGCAAAAGATGTGCCTGGAACAGAGAATATGGAGGACCACCAGCAAGAATCCATGGATAACAAGAGTACAACCGTTGCCATAACAACAGCTACCTACACCACAACTACAGAGGGCAACCCTTTGCTACAACACTCGGAAACTGCAGAATTGTCAGCACACATAGGCTTTGTCAGCCCCAACCCCAGCACTGTTCTAGGAAGCAGCAGCAATGTAAGTTTTTAAATAGAAAAGCAAAGGAATCACTTGTTTTTGTGAGGCGGTCTGAAACAGGAGGTCCCCTGTGTTCTAAAATTAGCAAACAAATTACACAAAATATATTTAGAAAGGCTTTTTTTAAAAAAAACATTTATTTACCTCTTTATTTTGTGGGCATTCTACACTGTGTTATTCCACTTCCAAATAAAATGCCATCTAAGAGTTGGTTCAGATGCTTTCACATATGATAATCATGCAAAGAGTTGCATGCTGAAGTTCCTCTTGTTCATCAGTATTTTAATCTTGCTCTTTGAAAAACAAACAAGGTTCTTGATCACTGGATTTATTTTCCTTGTAACAAATTTCTGAAGTATTTTAAATTGAACAATTCAATTTGGCAAATTTGGGATTGTGCTGTCATTGACTGAGATTTGAGCTGATCCTAACCTAATGAATAGCTTTCTACAACTTTGTCATGTTCACATTCTACTTTATAGTGCAATATTAAGGCAATATCGGTTTTCAATTCAATTGTATAGAATGTGAAGGATGTGTGTTTGTGTTTTTGTTTTATTTTTATAATTATGTACACAAGATGGCATTTAATTTCTTTGTACGAGGTTCAATGACATAAACTAAACTAAACATTTAAATTAAATGTATTAATTCTTACATGCCTGCAATTTGTGATCTTTCTGAGTATACTGAAATGTTTAGATATCCACAGGTTCAAAGGTATATAGAAAAAAAAATCCTAAATTGCATAACTGATTTATTAGCTCATGGAGAAAAGCAGTTTCCATGTGGTCTGCTTTGCTTGTAATTCCTGTATGAAACTTTAAAATGGAAATCTTGGAAATTGTATAGCTTGAATAAGAACATTCATCATTATCACTACCGTTAAGGAGTATGGGAACTTTCTGTTTACATGGGTTATTTAAATAGAAAAAAGATAATTGTATTGAGTAGCTTTGCCAGTCCTACCCTGGACTTCTGAAAGTTATCAATCTTCTACATTTTGAAGATTGTATACTTACATTAGTAATTTTGACATATTGGTCCATAATGGAAGAAAAAGCTGTGTATCCATCAATGTTGCAAAAACTTACCTGATGCTTGCTTATAAATGTATAAAGTCTGCCTGTAACCTAGGGGTACTTTTGGATTGAAAAGATTTGCCGGTGACAACATTGTTGCCCGGGGGACGCCCAATTACCAAAAGTAATGCAATCTTCAGGGATTTCATTTTAATATTTATAAAATTAGTTTGGCAGATTTTTTTTTAAAAAAATGCATTTAGTTATATTGTTTTCCTATAGCACAAGCCATGTTTTCAAAGTTAGTTGTAATATCTTTGATTTTTAAATACATCATTAAATTATTTGTGACATACAAAAATGCATTGGCTCTATGATGCTATAAAGTAATCAAATGTAATAGCTTTGATGCGTTTTTAACTTTTTTAAAAAAATCACTTTTGTCTTATGAAGTTTGTCAGTTGAAAAAAAGCTGCTATGTTTTGAAATTATATCTCTTAATGTGGGTATTTTTCTAACTCTCTTCCATAGTGCTTTAATACATCAGAAATGATGCTTTTCCATGGAATAAGTACTCAAGCGTCTTTGACAGCCATAGAATTTAGCTATCTTTGTCCAGCTATAATTAACCAGATTGATGGTAGAAATTGTATAATTCATGCAGCAAGTGAAAAAGCTGAAACAGCTCCAAAAACATATTCACTGCAAGTTGGTGAGTTTGATGGCAGATTTTCCATTTAATATTTCTACTTTCTCTTGTTTTTGATGGTGTAATACATTCTTATTCCAGGAGTGGCTTTATTTTGGCTGAATTATCTGAATCAAAACATTTGTATTTTTTATCTCAAGGAATAGGTCTTTTTATAAATGGCAACAAACCATATAAAAATCCTACTGATCTTTTAGGTTAGAAAATTCTTTTAACTAGTTGCCAAAATGGAAGAAAGCTGTTATTTAATAAAGAATGTATGTTTGAATCATTTGATAAAAAAGCTCTTTTCTTTTCAGCTTGGATTGGTGGCTTTATATCCATTTCCATTATCAGTTTTCTTTCATTACTGGGTGTTATACTGGTGCCACTTATGAATCGTGTGTTTTTCAAGTTCCTCTTAAGTTTCCTGGTGGCATTAGCAGTTGGAACTCTAAGCGGAGATGCTCTTTTACATCTCCTTCCACATGTAAGTACATTGTTTTTTCTATTAATAGTGCATTTGTTCCTTTGAAGCACAGCAGTGCTCTTTGGTCAGTGGAAGTTTGTAAGTAGAAAAAGGACTCATAATGAAACAAAAGCATCTAATCTGATGATCTGGTGTTGCCCATCATCTTTTAAATCTCCTCTGCATTTGATGCATTTTTCTTAACAATGTTAGAGCTAAAGTAAATGTACTACTAATGATGTGAACATAGTGTACTCACACAGTTTTATGCCAGCTGTTAGGAAGGGGATGAAGCAACTATAGGACTGTGGGGAAGGTGGACTATAGCCAGCTCAAGTCCTGCTGAAAAACCACTATTCACGCCCAGTAGAAATATTGCTTGGGCATCATCCTTATTATTTGCTTTTTAAAAGTCACATTCTTTCATCAGCCCTTTGGTGGATTTGACTATAGGTGTGAAGTAAGAAAAACATACTTGTTTCAATTTAATTTCTTCTCTCCTTGTGTATTCAATCTTATGCCATTAAAACTCAGAAGGTCCCATTATGCTTGGCCTCCTCAATTCTGTTTTATGTCTCTGTTTCTGCTCACTATTTATTCAACCTATAAGCATTTATGGTAATGTAAAACCTGTCAGGTAGAATTCTTTGTAAACTGTAGTGTTTGGGAATTTCTCAGGAAAAGTTTGCTTTGTGAAACTTCTTGTATGTATGCAAGGGAGACATTTCTCCTTCCTTTCTTCCTTTCTTCTTGTAGCTTTCATAGCTTATAGTGGGAGAAAAATCACCTCCTCCTGCTTTGGTTGAAAAGAAAAAATTATTTTGGGAGAAGAGCGTTATGGGATGTTTATAGCATTGCAGTTTAGACATGTGACAAGGCTATTCAGTAGCAATTTGATTTAGTAAAAGAGTATATATAGCTAAATATTTGTGGCACAGAAATCAAAGACAGACAATAGATAATTGAATATGAACATTTATAAAATCCAAACTTTTGAGATTTTTCATATTTTTGCCTTTATGTTTTGTGTCCAGATCATTGGCAAGTAGTTCACATATTTTTCTACATAGATATTCCTTGTATAAGCTTGTTGCATCAACTGATTCAAGCTGTGTTTGGTTACATACTATAGTTATTGGTTGACAAATAACTATTGGAAAGAACTTATCATTAATGTTGCCAATTATGGTTTGTGGTCAGGTTAGATTTGCCAAATAATACAAGAGCTATTCTGTGTCATTCAGTTTGAGGGGATTGAAAGGTTTAGTATCATAGCTGACTACTGTATTCAAAACAAATAAATATTCTAGGGATCAAATGAACCTGTGACATTTTGGCTAAAAATAAGTAAATATTTGGTATAATTTGGAAATATTTCACAGCTGGCATAAAGAAGCATCTGAGTTTCTAAATGTAACTATTATGCTAAATGTAGTTGGATAGTCATCTGAATATATTTTGAGTCTTATCCCTGAAATAGTATGAGATGTTATAGTTAGTTTTTACAGGTGTTACAGGTGAGGTATCACTCTTTTTTAAAATGATAGTGAACAATATCCTGTAGGTCAAATTAATGCAACAGTTCCTCCAACCTCCACCACACACACCCATTTTACTTGGGGCTTTTGCAAGGAGTACAAGGACTTATGACTATAATCTCATCTTATTTTCATATGTATTGTCTAAAATTACAGAGTTTTTTATTGTTTTAGAATTGTCCCAGGCCTTAGTCTGTCAGTTTTACTTGTGGTCATTGATTGCAATAAAATGCAAGTTTCACCTTTTCTACCTTGTTGTCTATATGCCAGTGGCCCCCAACCTTTTGGGCACCAGGGACCGGTTCCATGGAGAGGTTTTTCCACAGACAGGAGGGGTGTGTGGTTTCACATGCTGCCTACATCCTGTGAATGGAGCTTCACTTGTTTGTGTGGCCCAGTTTGGCATGCCGCGGCCCAGTAACGGTCCATGGACTAGGAATTGGGGACCCCTGCTACATACCGTTCTTGGACTGACAAACATCACTATTTCTCTAGTCATCCTTTCTCATCTTCTTCTATATGGAGTGTTGTCTAAACTATTTTTCTTTTTAATTTTCCACATTCAGTCTCATGGAAAGCACCATCATCATCATGAAAAACCTTTGATGGCACACAGTAACGATCTCCCTTTAAAGCATCTAGTTTTCCAAAGTTCAGAAGAGAATGCTTATTTGGATTCTACATGGAAAGGCCTTACGGCCCTTGGGGGATTATATTTTATGTTTCTTGTTGAGCACTTGATCACATTAATTAAACAGTTTAAGGATAAGAAAAAAAAGGTAAGAAACCAACCACTGGTTTTCATCAGTGTTTTGTTTAAATTTTCTTCTATTGAGACTATTTGAAAGTAATGCTTATAACCAATTTATAGAATAATGTTTTCACTTGATATTGCTTTTGTGTAATAGTGTCAGTTACTTAGATTTCACCATTACAGAGAAAGTTTTTCAAAGGAAAAAAACCTGATATATCCTTAAGTGTATTTGAGATTGAATTTTAAGTTCTAGCTGACGTAAGGTTTTAAAACTGAATGAAATATTACAATAGCAAAAATCTATGGGTTATTTTCTAACCAGTCTGCTACTTAGAGAAATTTCACATGCATTTCAACATTTTTCTATTCCACTGTCCATATTTTTTATTCCACTTTCTATATTTTTCTATATTCTATTTCTATATTCTGTTGATATATGTGTCATTCAGGAGGTATAGCCAAAATGTTAACAACTTCAATGTATTTTTTTTGGAGCTAGAAAAAAAATGATGATGATGAATCAGAAATCAAGAAACAGCTGTCTAAATATGACTCTCAACTTTCAGCAAATGATGACAAAATAGATGCAGATGATAGTAAGTTTCAATAAACTTTGTATAAATATCTTCTAAAACTTTGTGAAATGTATTTATGGCAATATAAGAAGATCTGAGATCTAGTATGCTAGCCTGGAAACTTTCAATTTTTAAGTAGGATAAAATTAATATAAAATCCTGTATACAAAACATTTTTTTCCTATTTTGCATGTGTTTCTCTGCAGTTTGAAAAAATTTTCTGGGGGTACTAAGAGCACTAGAGAGTTTAAGCAAAGCAGAATGAACAAAAATAAAATACATGATACTATTTTCAATCTGAAATGCATTATAGATTTCACTTTCTAATACAGTATTGGATATAAAAAGGAGAAATTGTTTTTTCTCTTCTAACAGACCTCCCTGTTGTCTCCCCATCTCTGACAAATATATTAAGTGAATGAGAATTGTCCTCTCCCTTTAATAAAAACCATTTCATTACGGAGAGTAATGAATGAGATACATTCTATTAAGAAACATTTTGCTGTTGTCATAAAACAGTGCTGACTTAGCATTTATCCTCAGTCTCAATTTTGCAGCTCCTTTCATGTTCCAAATATTAACATAGGGAAGATAAATTTGAAGTAGGACGGCCAATATGCATCTCAGTTCTTGACAATCTAGAAGTTCCCTTCTCAGTCCCAGGTTTTGAAAGATGGCCACTACAGTTATAAAGAAAAATCTTACAAAAAGTCTAATAATTGTAATAGGGTGTGTAAGTGGTGCAGAAATTGTTTAGAATATCCCTAATTTCATAATTTTTCATCCTCAATCATCATTACTATAATGATTTAGACGTTATTGGCAGTTTTCTGCATTTCTCCACTAGAGGCTACTAGAGCTATTTTGGCAAACATGATTTATTGCAACCTCTTCTTCATTCCTGCTTTTTTCCTCCATAACAGCTTCTCTTCATTGTCATTTGTTTGTGTATTTCCCCCCTTTTTCGTACCTTGGAGTCAGTATTTAATTCCTGGCCTTGCAATTTTCTTGGCAGCATTTTTTTTTTTTAGAAGTGGTGTATCATTACCTGCTTCCTAACACTGAGAAAGAGTGACTGGCCTGAGGTCTACCCAGCTGGCTTTGTGCTTGAGGCAGGACTAAAATGTATGATCTCCCAGTTTCTAAACCTGTACCTTAACCACTATACCAACTGGCTCTTACTATACACCATCCCTTTTTTTTCTCACCCAGAGATTTTGTAGAGAGATGATAGATGTTTACTGTCATCACGTCTCTATATTCTGCTAGTTATTATTATAAATACTATAAATTGTTATCTAAATAAAAAAATATATAGTGAGGCATCCCTGTGCTAGGTTGATCCATCGGAAGTTAATTTGGCCTTTAGGAGTAAGTTTTGAAAACGACTGTTCAGTTTGCACTGCTTCTTCTCTAAGTGATTTTTACATGCTGCAAGATAAGGGCTTAGAACCATTTGTGCTGGTGGATTGCGCATTGACAATACAGGTTTGATTTGATTTGATACATTGGGGATTTTGAAACCATGCAACGGGAGTTGTTACTAAATAGTTCCCATTGTAATAGAAAAAAATCCTGCATTTTTTTTTAAAAAAAAGGTTGCCATGGTAGCCCTGGCAAAATCAGGTCATGAGAATGTTCCAGGATACTCTCTTATTATCTTCACTTTTTTTAACCCCAGGCATGTGGACACACTGCAAATGAAACATAGGTTATAATCATTATTTTTATTTTCTCATTAATGTCACTTTTTAATGAGTGCAATCTATTTTTTGAAAAAAATCAGGTGAGATAGGAAACCTGATGGGTATTTATCTTGATTATTATGGGCACATGTTGGAACCTGAACTTTAGATGCATTTATGCATAGGCCAGTTTTTAAACATATGATTCTAAACATGTGGCATAATGTATGGTTAAAGTGTGCCTGCCCTTTATAGGTTTGTCCTAAAACATAAAGTAGAGCAGAACACTCTTTACTTACTTGCATGGTATATTTCCAATAAAAACATGTGAAAATAAAACAACTAAAGTCTTTTACCTATATAGCAATTATTCTAATTATTTCTTTTTTCTTCAATTGGATAATTATTTGAGTTGTTTTCTTTTTTTTCCCCCTCCAAGGGCCTGAAAATTATTTGGGGGTACTTTCTCAAGAGCCATCAAATTTCCTCTCTCAGAAACCAATGGTACAAGAAGAAGAAGAGGTCATGATCGCACCGATCCACAAAGAGACAGCTGATCATGAATATGAATCCAGAGGATGTAGAAACAAATGCCATTCACACTTGCATGACACTCTAGGGCAGTCAGATCATCTCAGTCATCATCACCATGACTACCATCATATTTTGCATCACCATCACCATCAAAATCATCACCCACATAGCCATAGCCAGCGGTATTCACGTGAGGAATTGAAAGATGCTGGTATAGCTACCTTAGCTTGGATGGTAATAATGGGAGATGGCCTGCATAACTTCAGTGACGGTCTCGCAATTGGTGAGTGCTTATGTATTGGCTTTCCTGTGGCTGCTAGTTCATACATGTAAATGGGAGAGCAACATTGCAGCAACATTTTTTGTAAATGCAGAAGAGGAATAATAAAAAGGGTTTTGTTAAAATTAAGCCTGTCACAATTCTCAGTATTTTCCTAGCCAATTTATAAATTATCTCAGAAATTCCAAATTCCTTAAAATGCATGTTTCATTTGTTAACATAACTAGCGCTTAGGTAGACGTACATTTGTCTGTCTTCCTATCTATAAGCTCTGTTAATAATTGGTTACTTTTTCCTGTTATAACCAAGAATCAAAATGTCTTAGTTTTAAAGTACATAAAAATTGCATGTGGTCCTGTCTTAACAACCACTCATTCAAAGATCATTCAAACTTACAATGGTGTTGAATGAACAGTAGTTATGACCAGTCTTCATACTTATATCAGTCATAGTATCTCTGTGCTCACGTGATTGCCATTTGTGTCCTTTGATGGATTTCTACAAGCCAAGTGGGTGGGAAAGCCAGCAGAGAGCCACAAATGGCATCCATGTGACATCCTCAATTAAGCTGCTGTTATTCACTTAATGACAGAAACTGAAGATGCTAGAATGACTGTTGGTAAATAGTATGGTCATGCGATGCCGTTTTATGACTATCACTTAGCAACAGAAATTCTGGTCCCAATTACTATTGTTAAGTGGAGACTATCTGTAGTCATGTTGCTATTGCCTTAGCTCTTTATCCGATTGCATTTTATTAAAAGCTGTAGTTCAGTGATTTTCGTGTAACTGTAAACTGCTCTTCATTTAAATCTAAACAAGTACACAGATAGGAAATTGATTCTCTTCACTAGAACTGAAATAGGAATAAGAATGGCCTTCAGAGCTAGCTGAAAGTACATAGATTTTGTTCAGAAAATGGGTGTATTTTTAAACTTTTCTTTATAGGGAGCATATTTCTTTCAACTAGTCATTTATTTCTTGTTCTCCCTTGTATGATTTAATCCATGGTTTTTGCAATACCTCACCTATACAATAAACAATGCTGATTAGAAAACATCTTTCTTGATTTAAATTTGTTTTTGGGTGCATTTGCCTGCATTTTCCAGTGTGATTGCTTTTTAAATAATGTTCATTTATTTTTCCTAGGGGCTGCTTTCACTGAAGGCTTATCCAGTGGCTTAAGTACATCTGTTGCAGTCTTTTGTCATGAGTTGCCACATGAATTGGGTAAGACATACGTATTAGAGAGCAGTAAAATATAATTTCCATGCTTTAACTGGTATATGGACTGCAGAGTGATAGTTATACTAATAAAGCCCCAAATTCCCATTACTGACTCACTAGTATTATTTTTTGTTTTTTTGTTTAAATGCTGAACAGTAATCTACCATTTTGTTATTGTTTCTCACAGCAACCTGTCAAACATACACAGTGGAGTCACAAAGTACAGTTGCAAGAAAAAGTATGTGAACCCGTTGGGATTACGTGGAGTTTTGCATAAATTGGTCATAAAATGTGCTCTGAACTTCATCTAAGTCACAACAATAGAAAAAAACAGTCTGCTTAAAATAATACTACACAAACATTAGATGTTACCATGGTTTAATTGAACATAACATGTAAACATTCACAGTGCAGGGAGGAAAAAGTATGTGAGCCCCTAGCCTAATGACTTCTCCAAGAGCTAATTGGAGCCAGGAGTGAGCCAACCTTGACTCCAATCAGTGTGATGATATTGGATGTGTTGCTGACAGCTGTCCTGTCCTTTAAAAACACACACCTGTTTTGGGTTTACTGGTTTCAAGAAGCACTGTCTGATGTGAACCATGCCTCGCAGAAAAGAGCTCTCAGAAGACCTACGATCAAGAATTGTTGACTTGCATGAAGCTGGAAAGGGTTACAAAAGTATCTCCAAAAGCCTTGATGTTCATGTGTCCACGGTAAGACAGACTGTCTACAAATGGAGAAAGTTTAGCACTGTTGCTACTCTCCCTAGGCGTGGTCGTCCTGTAAAAATGACTGCAAGAGCACAGCGCAGAATGCTTCATGAGGTAAAGAAGAATCCTAGAGTGTCAGCTAAAGACCTACAGAAATCTCTGGCACATGCTAACATTTTTGTTGACACATCTACAATAAGGAAAACATTAAACAAGAATGGAGTACATGGGAGGACACCACGGAAGAAGCCATTGCTGTCCAAAAAAAAATATTTGCAGCACGTTTGAAGTTTGCAAAAGAGCACCTGGATGTTCCACAGCACTACTGGCAAAATATACTGTGGACAGATGAAACCAAAATTGAGTTGTTTGGGAAGAACACACAACACTATGTGTGGAGAAAAAAAGGCACAGCACATCAACATCAAAACCTCATCCCCACTGTAAAACATGGCGGAGGGAGCATCATGGTTTGGGGCTGCTTTGCTGCCTCAGGGCCTGGACGGATTGTTGTCATTGATGGGAAAATGAATTCCAGAGTTTATCAAGACATTTTGCAGGAAAACGTACGACCATCTGTCCGCCAACTGAAGCTCCGCAGAGGATGGGTGATGCAACAGGACAATGACCCAAAGCATACAAGTAATTCAACAAAAAAATGGCTTCAAAAGCACAGAATACACCTTCTGGAGTGGCCCAGTCAGAGTCCTGACCTCAACCCGATTGAAATGCTGTGGCATGACCTTAAGAGAGCAATTCACACCAGACATCCCAAGAATATTGCTACACTGAAACAGTTTTGTGAAGAGGAGTGGTCCAAAATTACTCCAGATCGTTGTGCAGGTCTGATCTGCAACTACAGGAAACGTTTGGTTGAGGTTATTGCTGCCAATAACCAGTTATTAAGTCCAAAGGTTCACATACTTTTTCCTCCCTGCACTGTGAATGTTTGCATGTTATGTTCAATTAAACCATGGCAACATCTAATGTTTGTGTAGTATTATTTAAAGCAGACTGTGTTTTTCTATTGTTGTGACTTAGATGAAGTTCAGAGCACATTTTATGACCAATTCATGCAAAACTCCACGTAATCCCAAGGGGTTCACATACTTTTTCTTGCAACTGTATATCAGAACAACAACCTTCTCTGCTTTTGTTCCTTTGCAACTGTTATTCTTCTATTTCTAAATATATTATAAAGCCCTTGTATCTATAGTAGTCATTGATAAGCTTGTTCTTCATATATTTTTCTGTGTTTCTTTTCTGGTACACCTTCTATAGCTAGGTTCATGGCCATCATTACATTTAATTTAATTACATGCTATGGGTTTCTGGTATTGTGAGAAATTGAGAAATACATTTCCATATTTGCGTTCTTCATCCCTTCCTCCACATTTTCCACATTCCAAATTTTCCCCTTTTTCTAAACTAATCCTGACACTTGTTACTTTTGCTGATGGGAGAGTTGTTTTAATTCCCTGATTATTCTAGATGGCTTTTCTGTACTTTGGTATTACTTTGTTTGGACGTCCTTAGAGCATAAAAAATTATGCACAGTAGTCTAAATATATTCCAAATTCCTAAATTTATATAAAGCCATTACAATACTGGAAATTAGGTTTCTTTCCATTTTCTAATGATCTCTGTTGAGAAATGAACTTTTTGCTTTTTGGATATTGAATTGTTTTTATTAAGCTGTCAATTTAATAAGCAACTCCTGTTTTTTGGGGGTTGGGGGTTGGTGTTGTACTCCAGTTGAGGGGGGCATTCATGAAATCCTGGGAAAAGATACTGGTTTTTTCAATCCTATCTGTATACAATCCTAGTTTGTATATATTTGCATATCGGCAAGCACATAAAAATGATCAAATACGACAAAAGCAATTATGCTTACGCTTGTCTCCATTCTTCTAAAGTTTTGAAGCATCTAATTATATGAAAGCAAATGATTTTTTTAAGAAAAAAATAATGTTTTGACACGGCTTCCATGTGGGGTGGAATGCTGACATTTTAATATAAATTTAATACATTAATTTAATATAAATGATTGATATAAACATATTTGTATCTCTTTTGAAGGAGACTTTGCTGTACTTCTCAAAGCTGGTATGACTGTCAAACAAGCTGTTCTTTATAACGCGCTCTCAGCTATGCTGGCATACCTTGGAATGGCTACTGGGATACTTATTGGCCATTACGCTGACAATGTTTCCATGTGGATTTTTGCCCTTACTGCTGGGCTATTCATGTATGTTGCTCTTGTTGATATGGTAAGTATATGCTTATTAATAGATATTAATAGCATTCCAATACTTTGGAATGCCAATGAGATATTTCTATGGGAATACTAGCCTGGCACTGACTTCAGAATATGCTTATTCTCTAGCCAATAGAAGTAGTGATTAGAGGAATGGGGGTAGGGTGAGGAAATAATATTAGCTTAGTAAAAACTTTACCCAAATAACATGGCCATTCTGGCAATTATAGCCAGATGTATTCATTCATCCAATTGTTATGATTTTCTGAGGACCATCCTGGATTCATTTTAAGAATGAAATTTAACACACATTCCTAGGTAGGATTCTTTCTAACTAATGCATTGGGAGGGGAGGGGGGAAATAGTATACTAAGAAGAATTTCAAGATTTGTTGAAGCACAATACTTTCAATCCATATTTGATCACAGGCAACCAGCCACAATAGTCGTTTAAGTAACATAATGATCAGTGGATCCAGGAAGCATGGAAAATTAAGTCGTTTACTGAAAAACAGAAATGGAAATATAAAGAAAATGAACTTGGTTCCTTAATTTTCTAGATATGAGTGGCGTGATGGCCTAGAGATGGAGTTCTTGCCTCACAATCAGGAGGCTGTGAGTTCGATCCTAGGTAGCGGCAGATATTTCTCTCCTTGGGCACAATGAGTAATTGTCTGCTGTGAACTCTGCGTAGGCATCAGGAAGGGCATCTGGCCAATAAACGCTCGAGTTCCATTCAGTCACCCTGATTCCACCCCAATGCAAGGGATTACAGAGAGATTTAAAAAAAATCTAGATATAGAAATTAGCTGCCTGGAAATAAGAATAGGACCATATTGTACAGATGGGAATATACTACAATATTTTCCAGCAGATTTTATGTGTATAATAGAAGATTGATCAATATTACCAACATTAACCACTGCATATGTGGAAACATTATTTATTATAATATGCATGACTTAAAATTATGTATGTTTCTTTAAATATAGGTACCCGAAATGCTTCACAATGATGCTAGTGATCATGGATGTAGCCGCTGGGGATATTTCCTGTTACAAAACGCAGGAATTCTATTAGGTTTTGGTATCATGCTACTTATCTCGGTGTTTGAACATAAAATTGTGTTCAGCATAAATTTATAGGATTGTATTCATACTCAGAGCTGCACTTGAGGAGGTAGAAGAATTTTTGCCTGTTTCTTGTTCCTCCTAATCCTCCAGGGAGGATGAGAGATGTAAAGGTACGGGATGATGGAAGAAAATTGTGAAATCACCCCCCACCCTTAATCCAGGGGTGAACTACTGAAGGATTACAGTTGCTTCCATGAACTGATGTTTCTTTGTTTATTGAAGTGGTACACTGCTTCAGCTGCATATTCTGTTTACTTTTCATACTATTGATATTGTCTGTATAGTTTAATTGTAGGCACTTTCCCTCCCATTAATTAGTCATAGAGATTTTAATAATATAATCTTTCATAAATTGCAGGGGATTACCAGTGGCAAAGAGAGAAAATTGGCTTATTAAATATTACCTTTTTCCAAACATAGTGAAAAATGAAACTATAAATAGTTTGTAACTTGAACTTTCTTCTAAAAAAAATAATATTGCAAATGTGATTAGAGCATGCATTGCTAGAGTTTTTCTTGTATATGTTAAAATGGTACAAACACGTCGACTATTGGTGATTTAAAGATATAGAAACATCTAAAATTATCACCTTTTTTTCTTGGTAGTGATGGTGAAGATCAGTTATGTTACTGCAAACATGTACTGTATTCCAATGAAGAGATCTAATATTTTATTTGCAATTAAAATTACATGATCCTTGGTCTAACTAAATGTCCAAAGTATGTTTTTATGTATTTATCAAGATGCCCCCAATTGCCTGTAGCTCCCACATACCTACTTATACTGTGAAGGGGTTGGTGGGTAAGTGGAGGTTTTAGTGGGCCACGAACACTTCCTGAATTCCAAATGTGTATTGTGTGCGGATTGATTCTGACTTCCTACTGGGAGATGGGAGAAGGCAAGGCACATTCAAGTGGGAAAAGTTAAAATTTGCTGGTGTGTAAAAAATGCCTATGCAACCATCCCTGAACAACAAACAGCCACATATGTTTCATTCAGTGGAATGCAGTAGAAGTCTATTCCAATCTTCATTAATGAGTTAAGTAGATAAACATCTACTTAATAGTATATATAATGGAGGATTTCTGCTATGAGTTTGTATAGTTACAATAATCAAGGTTCTGTCTAAATCTCTGGGTACATATGAATCTTCAGCAGCCATTCGATAAATGATGCATGTTTGAATCAGAACAACCTTTTCACACCATATATGCTCAGAATAGAAGAAGTGACAGAACATTCTTCACTTTCTAAGGATTTGCATTCTTAAAAAACTGCCATTATGAAAAAGTTGGAGAACATATGTAACAGAAAACTGCCAGACTGCTAAACCGGCTGATAAAAGCAATTTGTTAACTCAGCTTCATGTAGTAACATGTACAATTTGATCAGTCTTTTAAGGACAAAATGCACACATGCAGAGGCAACATGTTACTTTGATACACAGAACAAAGTACAGATACCTTCTATGGCCAGTGAAGGTAAAGGAGTTGTAAAGAATTTTAGGAGTGATATTCTGAGTGCTTTCTCTACTTCGTTATTGTCACAATAACCATATGAGCTGTGGTGGCACAGTGGTTAGAATGCAGTACTGCAGGCTACCTCTGCTGGCTGCCAGCAGTTCAATTCTCACTGGATCAAGGTTGATTCAAGCCTTCCATCAGAGGTCGATAAAATGAGGACCCAGATTGTTGGGGGCAATATGCTGACTAAACGCTTAGAGAGGAATGTAAAGCACTGTGAAGCGGTCTAAAGTCTAAATACTATTACTATAAGAAAAATAACTAGCCAGAGTCATTTTTTTTTTCAACATTGCTAACTATTACCTCACACACGTACCATGTTTTAAGCAGGCTGTTACCTGATTGAACAATCAGTAACCATGATTGTTGAGAATTGAATCCAGGGAATGTCTTATGCCAAACTTGAATGTAACATCTTTTTTTGGTAATTATTCAGAATATTTTAATATTGAATATGTAAAAAGAGAGGAACAACAAAATTAAAATTTGCATAAACTAAAAAAATCAGTTTAGATGTGTTTCCAAAGTAACATATCTTTTGGAAGTTTGGTCTGCATATAATTTATGTTTAATTTCCTATTTTTCTTAATGTTAAATAAATATATAACATATACAGTGGGGCAAAAAAGTATTTAGTCAGCCACCAATTGTACAAGTTCTCCCACTTAAAAAGATGAGAGAGGCCTGTAATTGACATCATAGGTAGACCTCAACTATGAGAGACAAAATGAGAAAACAAATCCAGACAATCACATTGTCTGATTTGGAAAGAATTTATTTGCAAATTATGGTGGAAAATAAGTATTTGGTCACCTACAAACAAGCAAGATTTCTGGCTCTCACAGACCTGTAACTTCTTTAAGAGGCTCCTTTGTCCTCCACTCATTACCTGTATTAATGGCACCTGTTTGAACTTGTTATCAGTATAAAAGACACCTGTCCACAACCTCAAACAGTCACACTCCAAACTCCACTATGGTGAAGACCAAAGAGCTGTCGAAGGACACCAGAAACAAAATTGTAGACCTGCACCAGGCTGGGAAGACTGAATCTGCAATAGGCAAGCAGCTTGGTGTGAAGAAATCAACTGTGGGAGCAAGAATTAGAAAATGGAAGACATACAAGACCACTGATAATCTCCCTCGATCTGAGGCTCCATGCAAGATCTCACCCCGTGGGGTCAAAATGATCACAAGAACGGTGAGCAAAAATCCCAGAACCACACGGGGGGACCTAGTGAATGACCTGCAGAGAGCTGGGACCAACGTAACAAAGGCTACCATCAGTAGCACACTACGCCGCCAGGGACTCAGATCCTGCAGTGCCAGATGTGTCCCCCTGCTTAAGCCAGTACATGTCCGGGCCCATCTGAAGTTTGCTAGAGAGCATTTGGATGATCCAGAAGAGGATTGGGAGAATGTCATATGGTCAGATGAAACCAAAGTAGAACTGTTTGGTAGAAACACAACTCGTCGTGTTTGGAGGAGAGAGAATGCTGCGTTGCATCCAAAGAACACCATACCTACTGTGAAGCATGGGGGTGGCAACATCATGCTTTGGGGCTGTTTCTCTGTAAAGGGACCAGGATGACTGATCCGTGTACAGGAAAGAATGAATGGGGCCATGTATCGTGAGATTTTGAGTGCAAACCTCCTTCCATCAGCAAGGGCATTGAAGATGAAACGTGGCTGGGTCTTTCAGCATGACAATGATCCCACACCCACCGCCTGGGCAACGAAGGAGTGGCTTTGTAAGAAGCATTTCAAGGTCCTGGAGTGGCCTAGCCAGTCTCCAGATCTCAACCCCATAGAAAACCTTTGGAGGGAGTTGAAAGTCTGTGTTGCCCAGCGACAGCCCCAAAACATCACTGCTCTAGAGATCTGTATGGAGGAATGGGCCAACATACCAGCAACAGTGTGTGCCAACCTTGTGAAGACTTACAGAAAACGTTTGACCTCTGTCATTGCCAACAAAGGATATATAACAAAGTATTGAGATGAACTTTTGATATTGACCAAATACTTATTTTCCACCATAATTTGCAAATAAATTCTTTCCAAATCAGACAATGTGATTGTCTGGATTTGTTTTCTCATTTTGTCTCTCATAGTTGAGGTCTACATATGATGTCAATTACAGGCCTCTCTCATCTTTTTAAGTGGGAGAACTTGCACAATTGGTGGCTGACTAAATACTTTTTTGCCCCATTGTATATTTACTTAACATAGTAAATTTTAAGAAAAATAGAAAATTAAACAAATTATATGCAAACCAAACCTCCAAAATAGTCAACTCATGATGGCAAAGCATGCATTCTTCAGGCCATTTGTATAATTGATAGAGAATTCACATTCCAATTATGTAGGCTTTGTTTTTTACTTTTTAGAACACTTGGTTTTTAGTTACAGAAAAATGAAATAGATTGTGGTGTATCAGTGTGAATTCATTTGCATACTGTAGCTAAAAATGCTTTAAAATATGAGATAGGTGGTTTTAGAATTTTTGCAGAAAGATTACAGGAACTATTTATAGCATTTCAGAAAAGCAATTTATGAGAGAAATGGCAAAACCAGCTCTTATAATTCCATATTTTGTTATTATTTAATCGGGAATGGGAAAAGATTGGTAGCTGACCAAATCCCAGGAGAAGTGATACCAACCTTTCAAAATATCCATTTGCAAGCCACATTGATAAACCAAGCCCATAAACAGTGTTGATTGCAGAAGACAAGAAAATTATTGATTTGATTTGCTGCAAATCAGTGGGAAAAATATAATCCCCCATGATGCATGTTTTAACTCCTAGCAACCTCACAGTGCTACTTGTCTACTATTTACTGGGGTCTTTGACCAGAGAGACCCAGATGCAAGTGTGAACACTAACATGCTACGGCGACACAGATTGATTCAGGATCAAAAAGGTTGACTCAGCCTTCCATCCTTTCTAAGGTAGGTAAATTGAGGACCCAGTTGTGGGGGCAATAAGCTGACTTTGTATAAATATACAAAAGAATGAAGGCTATTGCTTAGCGCATTGTAAGCCGCCCTGAGTCTCCAGAGAAGGGTGGCATATAAATAAATTTAAAAAAAGAAGTTAGACAGAGATGTATTTTATCACGATTTTTGTTCAATCTGTATGCTGAAATAATCACGTAGAGATTAGACCTGGAATTGCTTGAGTTGGGAGTGAAAATTGGAGGAAGAACCATAAATTGAGGCACACAAGTGATACATTATTGACTGAAAATAAGGAAGACCTAGAAAAAATGATCTGAAAAATCACAGATGAAAGTAAAAAGTAGGATTGAGTTTTCAGGAAAACAGAAATAATGACAAAAGCTGCAGATGGACATTGCATATATCATGGATAGCCAGAACAACCAACAGAGAGATGACAAATCATAAATCCAGAAATATCACTAGAAGACAAAATCACAAGATTTACTATTTACTTTAGCCATGTCATGCATGCAAATTCACTGAAGAAGTCAATGATACTAGGAATGGTTAGTGGAGCAAGAAGAGGCAAGCAAAGAACACTGCCTTGATACCATCAAAACTGATACAAGATGAACACCCAACAACTGAAAGAAGCTGTGCTTGACGTGGTAGCATGGAGAGCACTTCTCTATAAAGTTGCCAAGAGTCAGACACGACTGGTGGAGAATGAATGAGTTTCTCCAGTAAGGTGCAAATCCGTAAATGCAATAAAACTATTCTTTGTCAATCTATAAAATTAAACTAATGGCATACTGTTATTGTAATCTTAATCAGTATGTCCTATGATTATTTTTCAAAACAGCGTGAAGCTTCGCAGAAACACTCTTAGGCAGACAATACTCTTCAATATCTTCAGAAATGACTTAGATGAGGGAAAAGAAGGGGAACTCATCAAATTTGCAGATGACACTAAACTGGCAGGAATAGGCAACTTCCCAGAAGCTCACAATCCAAAAAGATCATGACAGATTTGAACAATGGGCCCTATCCAACAACATCAAATTTAATGTGGAGAAAAGAAAGGTTTTACACCTAGGCAGGAAAAACCAAAGGCACAAATACAGAGTAGGTGAAACCTGCCTCAAAAACCAATAACTGTGAGAGGAATCTTAAACATGAGCCAGCAGTATGCAGCAGCAGCCAAAAAAGCTAATACAATCCTTGGTTATATAAACAGGCATAGAATCA